GGCATGCCACTGACGAGGGCGCCGATCCCCCGCTCGCACGCGCCCATCGCCCGGACGGGAAGGACGACGGCCGCCTCGCCGTCGTCCGCGTAGAGCAACGGTGATGTACAACACCACGAGCCGCGTCGCTGATGACGGTCCACGCCTTCAGCGCCGACGACCGTAATCGTCCGCGCGGTATCGATCCCACGGACATCCCAACGAGCACGACTCGCGCATCCATGCCCACCGCCATCTGCGCCCTTCGCTGTCCCGTGCACTCCCCCGTGTCCCGCGTACACCCGCTCGCGCTGACGACCACCGACTGCGGCATCTCCGTTGCGCCCCCGCCATCACCAACCACGCCAAGCCCGTCCGCACCCTCCCCGCTTATCTGCACCTCTACCGCGGACCCCCGTCCGCGGACGGAGAGTCTCTGCACGCCGGGGACGAAGACGCCCATCCCCGCGCCGCGCGCGCCTATTGTCGGCGCAATCGCATCTCGGGCGAGTGCCGGCGAAGGGGAACGACGACGCCACCCCACCATCGTCCGCGGACAGCGACGCCGATGTACGACACAACGAGCTGCGCACTCCGCATCTATCTCCGCTGTACAATGACTCCCCGCCAGGGCGCGACGAACATCCCAATGAGCACGACTCGTCCATCCCCATCCGCGTCCCGCGCATGCTTCGATCCCCGCCCCGCGCCCGTACACCCGCCGAAAGCATCCCCGACGCTCCCTCGTCCGCGCACGACCTCCCTCGTCGTCGCGCACGACTCCTGCACCCAGCGCTCGACTGCACCTGCACCATCCCCCTGCGCCCCCCGCTTCCCTATCGCCCCGACACGTCGCGCCCTCCCCGTGCGAGCACCCCATCTTGGCGCACAGCGACATCTGAGCCCCGTCCGCACCCGCCCCGCACCCGCGACTCTTCTCGCGCACAACTCCCCCGGCCGCGCTCGCCACGTCGCGCCGTATCTGACTCGCGTATCCGCTAGCCACTGGCGCGTTCTCCCACCGCCCTCCCCCACCGCGCACGAAAAAAGAAAAAAACTCACTGCTAAATCCGCCGGCACCGGGCACGGGCGTCCCCGGGTACGCAAACACCGTCTCCTGCACGGGCGCGAACAGGTAGTCGTCCCCCGCGTCCTCCGCGCCGTCCGGCGAGTTGGCGTTCGGCGAGCCGGCGGTGGAGCCGGTGCGCATCACTGGGGAGGGGTTAGTATGGGGAGGAGACGAGGGTGGGAACAGAGGATGGGGGAGGAGAGGATGAAGGGATGAAGGGAGGGCGGGAAGGGATGGCGGCGACGAAGGGGACGGCGGGTGTGACGAGGGGCAGAAAGAATCACGTATGGGAAAGTATGGATGGCGAGCGGCGGAGAAGGTGTACGGGGATGTAAGGAGGCGAAGATGAGGGGGTGACGGGGATGTAAGGAGGCGAAGATGAGGGGGTGGCGGGGAAGGAAGGATAGGCGCGGAAGGACAAGGGCATGGGAGCGGGGAAGAGAACAAGCAGCGGGATGTGGAAAGAATGACGATGGATGAGTAGCGCGGGATAGGGGAAGGTCGTGGGGCGAAAGTGCAGGGGGACGGCGTAAGGGAGATGTAAGAGCGGGAATGTGAGGACGGTGGCAGGGAGGGAGAGAGTGGGAGGCGCAGGGAAGACGCGGACGAGCGGAGGATGGGGGCGGGAATGGTGTGGTGGAGCAAAATCGGAGTACGAGGGAAGGGAAAGGGGAGAATGGGGAGCACGCGGGGATGATGGCGACGAAAGGAATGGGTAGGAGACGATGGCCGGGAGGAGTGACGCGGGACGATGGGGGGAGGATGCGCAAAGGAAGTCGGGGGACGACGGGTGGGACGGGGGGAACGGAGGACGGGGAACGGGGAGTGGCGACAAGAGACGGCTCCGGACATGAAGGGAACGGATATGACGGGCCCGAGGGTAGACAAGGGAAAGGGATGCGGATGTGGGTGATGGAGATGAAGGTCTATATGGGAGGATGGAGGGGAAGGAGCAAAGGACGATGGTGGGGAGATGTACGTCGGGGAAAAAAGGGACGGATGAAGAATCAAGAGCGAAAATACGCACGGCTCAGCGCGCCAAACACCTCGTCCACGCTCTGGCGCCACTCGCCGCCGCTCTGGTTCCCGCCGTGCTGCTGCAGCGTCATGCGCCGGCGGATGTCGTCCGGCGTGAGGGTGAGCTGTAGGGAGGGAGGTCAGTATTGGTCTTGAGCGGGAGGAGGAAAAGTGAGTAAAGTAACGGGAAATGTGAGACGGAGGGGAGGGGACGAGAGGACGAGCAACGAAGGTGAAAAGGATGGCGTGTCTGCGTATGGAAAGGTGAAGGGGCAGGATAAGATGGGTTAAAGAAGGGAGATGAAGGCGTAACAAAGGAAGAAGGGACGAAGGTGGAGGGAACGGCATGAGACGGGCGGGAGAGGATGTAACGATGGGATGGTGTAGCGAAGAAAGAACGCGGCAGGACGAAAAGAAAGTACAATAAAGAAAGAATCAAGACAAAACCACTAACCGGCCCCGCAGTCTGCCTCGGGCTCGTAATCCCTGAAAATCACCATCAGCATCCAGTCATCCCACCATCTCGCTGACTCACCGCTCTGCAACCCACTACTCGGCTCGGAGCTCCCGGGACTCGGGTACGCGCCAAACGTCGTGCTATTATACGCGCTGTCGGCGCTCGGCTCGTATACGGCGGGGAACGCGCCTGTGGGCGTGGGCGTCGTCGGGCTGAAGTAGCTCCCCGACTGCGCATGCGTGGTGTACGTGGGCGCCGGGCTGTAAAGATTATATCAGCCTCTGCAAGGGAAGGAAAGGAAAAGGAAAGCGAATACCTCGTCCCCTCATACGCATAATACTCCGCGCCCCCAATCGCGCCGCTATCGGGGTACACAATACTGTGCACCCGCCCGGTCGGGCTCACGCTCCGCGCGCCATACCCCCCGTCGACTCCTTCCACACGCTCCCCGCTGCTCCACGCCGCGCCGTTCGCACCGACATACACGCTGTGCCCCCGGTCCGCGCCCCCCGAGTACTCGCTCCCCCGCGTATACGCGCTCGCGCGGTCCCCGTACGCCGAGATCCGCGACGGCGACGGCAACGCCGGCACGGGCGGCGCCTCCTCCTCACCCCCATCCGCGTTGTACGTCGACGCGGTGTGGAACGCGCGGCTCGTGCGGCTGTACACCGAGTTGCTGAGGCTCGGCCGGGGGTGCGCCGCGTCCGCAAAGCTCACCGCGCGGCTCCCCCTCTCGGGCGGTGTCGCGTGCGTCCGCGGCCGTCTTGCGCCCACGCCCACGCCCACGCCGCTCCCGAGACTCGTGCGCGGGAGGTCCGCCTGCGCGATGTCGACCGAGCCCGAGCTGCGCGGCTTCTCGCCCATGACGACCGGCTCGCCCTCGACGGGCCCCACGTTCCTCGCCCCGTTGCTGAAGCTGAAAACAGAGTTGCGGCTGTACGCGATGCTCTGGCGCACAGCCTCGCGCGCGCCGACAGCGGTGACGGGCTTCCACGTCTCCGAGATGGTCGACATGCGCTTGTCGAGCTTCTCGCTCCATGCAGAGCGCTTCGCGGCGCCGCGGGCACGGCTGATCTTGAGGTACGCGAGGCCGAGGAGGACGAGGAAGAGCAAAGGGAGGAGCACCGCCGCGGCGGTCTTGCCCCCGCTCAGCTTGTGCGTGCTCACACCCGAGACGGAGGTGGTGGTGACCGTCGTCGTGCCGCTGTCCGTGCCGCTGAGGGACGTGTCGGCCGCGGCCGGCGTGGAGCCGTTAGCAGGCGCCGCGTACGTCGCCGTGAACACCGGCCCCGCGGGAATCGGGCTGAGGAACGGCGGCTCGCCCGTCGGGACGAGCAGCACCTGCAGGTCCACGGCGGCCGTGCTGTTCCACCACCGCGGCATCAGAGTGGCATTGTACGCCCCCGCCGCGTAGTTGACGCCCGTCCAGAGGTGGAGCTTCGGGTTGCTGAGGCCCGAGGCGGGTGCGTAGAGGTAGAGGTCGACGTAGGAGGGCGCGGGGAGCAGGCAGGAGAGGGCGGGGTCCCAGGCAATGGTGAGCGGGGTTAGCGCAGGGTAGGAAGAGTTGATCATGGGCGAGGTGTAGAAGGCCCCGGTGGCGCAGCCTGTAGCCATAGTGAGTTACACGAAGGGTTAGGGGATGATGAAAAGACGGACTGGGATCACTCGTCGTCGACGCTCGCTTCGACTTGCTCGTCTTGTGGCGGAACGCAGCGCCCGCCTTGGACAGCTGGAAGTGCTCAAAGCCCATTATTCTATTCAATTCTTTTTTCTTCTCGGATCTTGGCTCTTCGGGTATCGGAGAGGGTATTCAGACTCCTTTTGGGTAGCCGTAAAGAGCGGACGGCGAACGAGTGTGTGCCGGGTGGGCGGAATTCTCACTCTGGCGAGGAGAGGGAGGAGAGGAGAAGAAGACAACTTGATATGTGTGCGTATTTGGTCCAACAATTGATGTCCCGCCAATCACAGGGGACAGCGATCAGGAGGGCACGCGGGCGTCAAGGCAACGACGCCGTTAACACGAGTGCCAAGTGGGCCTAGGAGAGTGGGAAGGAGGAGGTAGCAGCGAAGAATTTATACGAGGAGTCGCGCCCGAACAGCGTGCCCCGGCGTTCTTCTGGTGAGGTAATCAAAAATATCGGTCCTCTTGGCATCGGACGTTTCGGGATCAAATATCTGTGACGTCCCCGTCCTTTCTCCTACGAATGCCAACGGAGAGCACCTCTGATTTATATACGTGTGCAGAAGCAGCGTGGGTTCGACTCCGCGCAGGCATAGCCACCGTATATGCCCCTTTTATTTATCTGTCTGCATTCATTTATTCATTTTCCTTTCTCCCCCGCAGGCATTCTCGTCCTTGAATTGCTTATTGAGCTGTCCTATGTAGCTATTCACTCGCACTGAATTTAATGATCCGGATCGTACCCATCCGAAGTTTTCTTATGTGCATCCCATACACCCAGCCACCCTCTGCGGAACGCCTGCGTAGCTCAATGGTGAGCCCCTATACTTGGTGGCCACGGAGTTTCTCAATTTTGAGAGGAGGCGTGGGTTCGACTACCACCGCAGGCATGTCTAAGATACAGATGTTTTTCTTGCTGTTCGCTTGTGATACGGATCCCGCTTGCAACATTATTGGTCCCTTTGCTGCATTCAGGCGCATTCTTTTATTTGTTGTATTCAATTCTCTGTGGCCATTATCCTGCTTCTGGACTTGTCTCGCACTGAATTGACCAATCGGTGCTTTGCCATCCGTCGGTGATATCATAGCGCGATTTTCTGTCGTTTCTACTAATTGCATACTAGCTGACCGCCTGCGTAGCTCAACGGAGAGCCCCTCTGCTTCATACCATTGTGTCTTTGCAACCCATTCCAGAGGAGCCGTGGGTTCGACTCCCACCGCAAGCATATCGAATATTGTCACCTGTTTTATTATTTGTTTCCATGCTCTTTATCGCCCTTTTCGTTTTGGTTTTCTTTTCCTTTCGAGTGTTAGGAGTCTGTGGAGGCATTCCACGCTCGTCCACGTTCTCTAGGCATCAATCTTTACACTCTGCCGTATGTCTCTTCCTTTCCGCCCCAGTGAGCGCCTCGTAGCTCAACAGAGAGCACCTCTGTCTCATACCACTGTGTAGGTTCGACTACCGCAGCCAATCTCATCATATCATACATTTCTTTTCTATTCCGCCCGCGTAGCTCAACGGTGAGCCCCTCTGCTTCATATCGCGTTCTTTTGTAATTTCCAGAGAAGCCGTGGGTTCGACTCCCACCGCAGGCATATCCAGGATGCATACATTTTTCTTGCTGCTCGCTTGTGCTACGGATCCCACTTGCATTATTATTGGTCCATTTTCTGAGGTGCTCTGCCACACACCCAGCCAGCTTCCATGGAACATCTGCGTTGCCCAATGGAGAGCACCTTTGACTTGTCAGGACTGATTCTTACACCTTACAATGTGCTGTGGGTAATAGATCGTGGACAACACATTTTTCTTGCAATTCGCTCTGAATTATATCTGCTTGTGCTTTCGTGCATTTTCTGCGCTCGCATCGGCGTGCATACCATACCACACTTCAATAAGAACCAATTATGCAAATGATAGAGGCAGCGTTGCCGCAGGCAATCTTATTGTGCATTTGTTGTTAAAGCTGTTCACATCTGCAGACTAAATTTATACAGATCCTCGATATATGTCCGGCTTTTTTTCTGTTCTCATACGCTTGCCAATTCAGCGCCTGCGTAGCTCAACGGAGCATCTCTAATTTATATGCAGACCTCAACCCCCCACCACAGAGATATGTGACATCCTCCCCACTTTTGTTGGTTTTTTGTGAGCAAACTCAGTCTATTCCAAGCTCATCCGCTTATATCTGCAGACCGAAAAATAATTCAAACCACACTGGTATTTGCCTCAGATGCAATTCCGCCGATGGTGACAAAACTTTGAATGCAAGCACGAATTCAAAGAATAATATTTCGGGGACGCGGATCAGGGCAGGTGTACGTGCAAGGACTCTTGATAACTTGGTGGTTCGCCATTGGGGTGAGATATACATCATGTAGGGTAATATTGTGTCAGTTTCCTGACAGGAGAAATGGTACAAAAGTGAGTCCCAGTGGTAGCGACTCTCCACCTTGTAAGCAGGAAGGGGACATCCTCACATTGATGATCTATGATGTTGGCACCACTAGCCGCAAATAGCATAGCCGACAGACGCCTGAAGAGGATGGCTTGCTGAGAAGCAGTAAAAACGGGAAGATCTTCGTTAGGATCAGCTGTAGGTCATGGCAAATGAGTGCCTTCCTGTCAACAAGAGGAAGGGCTCACTTGTCAACCTTCCTCATCGCCCAAACTACCAATGATTCGTGGTGCAAACCTAGAAAGGCATGAGGTTCCTATTTGCAGGAAAATAATGGCAGGACAACAACTCAGAGTCACGTGGATCGGGATTGACACTTGGGTCTCTATGTTCACACACAGTTGAGAAACCAGACGGTCAGGGGAGAGACCCTGACTGTACTTCAGACTTGGCTTCAGATTGGTTGGATGTTTTATTTGACTTGTCTCATGCCATTTCAGTGGAGGGAGGGGTGGTGGGGAAGGACAAGGTATTCCCATTCTTGTGCATTGCCAACCAGGACAATACTGCCGACCTCCTGGCCAGCATCACCTGCCAACAACATGTATGGCGAGATCCAGATCTCGCTGTTGGCTTCATTCTTTCAGGCACCATGCTTGATCCTGCCATGGTCCGTTTTTGGACAAATGTTCAAGCTGTTATCTGATCTTATTTTCCCTAGTCTACCATTCATATCGTGTTTGGTCTGACGGATACTGCTTCAGCTCTTTCCCTCGCGCAGTTCATCTTGAATCTATCACCCCATTTCACGTCCGTCCTGGCCTGTGCAAAGGAGCATGCCAAACTCAATTCGGGAACAAGGCCCCTGATGATTGGTGATTGGACAACGTGCAGCCGTGTTGTTGAGTGGTTACGACATGTTGAATTGTGAATTCACTTTTGAGTTTCACGCTCTCCTTCGCATGTATCAGGAGGGACATGAAATGGGGTGGTAGATTCAAGATGAACTGTGTGGGGGAAAGAGCTGAAGATTGAACACTCCGTTTGAGGTGCCACACATGATATGAAGCAGACTAGAGAAAATAAGATCAGTGTGAACATTTATCCAAAAATGGATCATGGCAGGATCAAGCCAAGAGAGAACAAGTCTCATCACGGTGCCTCAAAGAACAAAGCCAACACCAAGATCCGGACCCCACCATACATGTCATTTGCACCAGGAGATCGGCAGTATTGGCAACACACAATAATGGAAGCATTGTGGATGTGTGTACCCCACAACCAAGCAGAATATGAAGACCAGGAGTGTCATTGAAGGAAGGAGAAACATCACTTCAGTGTCAGAAGAAGCCTGAAGTTTCGTTGGCCAAGGTTATCAAATCCTCTGGGAATCCCCTTCGAGAACATGGCATGCCAGCATTGTCACAACAACATTGAAATCATCAGAGTCTGGTGTCTTGGGGCGCAGGCATACAAATGGTGTTTCCGTGCTGATAAGAAATGTAGGATTAACAACACGTGACACAAAAAAAAAAAAAAACAAGGTTCAAATACATTATCATGGCCTCCTGTGTGGTGCAAACTAAATGGAAATGGTTAGAAAACAGTTTAAAACTATTTTAAACTGTTTACAAACAGTATTTTCGCAGGGTGATCTGCCATGACTGCTTGGACACAGAAGTGAGACTGAAATAGACTCCCCTGAAATGAACACCCATCAAGCAGGTCATTTTGTTGACGTGGAATAAAGGTGTGATCTGAGGTCGGCGGCGGGTGGAGATAGCCATGCACCATCAAACATGGCCGATTTGGGGGCCTGTCCTGCCAGCTTGCCATTGGACAGGGAGCATCATCAATAGCCTAGGAAGGCCCATACAACTTTTCTTTGTTGCTCTGGTGTATCCTGAAACCTGTGTGAGTGGTTTGAATTTTCTCAACCGTTTAAGCCGTTTCATTTACCATTTGCAACAGTCTGCAAACCAAATGGAAATAAAAACGGTTTTCACCGTTTGAAAACGTTTATAAACAGAAATGGCTGGAGCTTTGGCTGTTGGACACACAGGTGAACACAGAGCAACAATGTCCCAGATGAGTAGATGCTGTTAGCGAGGCCAAGCAAGCAGATAATTGTGGTCACGTAGACGGAGTTTCACATCAAATCACTCGGAATGGGCACCATGGCTGTCGAAGGCAAGCTTAAAAGAAGTCACGTTGCTGACCCACGTGACAAGGCACAGCCTCTGACCATTACATTTTTTTAATCAGCTTTTTCACTCAAATAATTGAAATGTTCAACCAATGCTATTGAGGGGTTAGTTGTTGATAGTGTTGTGTATTGTGTATGGTTTGAGTTTATATCTCAGCTGCATTAGCATTTCACATTTCACATTCACATGTACCTGAGAGTTAGTGTTTCAATGTCGTCCATTCCGAATCTTACTGTGTGTCCATGAGGCCCTCGTAGATCAATGGTAGATCTCCTCCTTATAATACTCCTGAACAAAGTGTATTATGGGGTGATGTGGGTTCGACTCCCACCGAGGACCTTGATATCAGCATGTGCAATTCTCTTTTTTGACCTCCTAACCAATGGGAGATCCCTACCTCATAAATACACTGCCCCATCATGCTCCCCCCATAGATCAGTGGTAGATCTTCTCCATAAAATACTTTTGAACAACACAGGGGGAAATGAGTTGGGACTCGTCATAAAGGCAACCCAATGGCAACCCACGAGCACTTGCTGTGGCACTCGCTCACCTCTGCTGGCGAGCTTATATAATATGAGTATTTCCGTCCATGGGTTCGAGTCTGGGAAATGCCGTCTTTTCATTGTTGCCCTTGTCACTTATTGCAGTACCGGTAACTATTGGAACTGCATACATGGTAGCAATCAGTTGAAGATTAATGAATATGCAGTATCTGCTTTTGATTTATTGAGGAGATAGTGGGACGACGTCCTTCTTCACCACGAACACCACAGCTCGAGAGTTAGGTCGGCATCAAGGATCATGGCGCTATCCTTTGCGACGTCGGTCCTCTTGTTCCATCGATATTTGGACTGTCTTGGATCAACCTCAGTGATCGCTTCAACGGATAGCGGCACCTGGTTTCCCCATTATTTCCTCACAGAAAGGTTAATTTCGATTTGAGGAGCTCAGAGATCAATTCGAAAAGATGCGCCGCCAGAAAGCAAATGTCTCAAGCGGCAGTTCATGCTCGTTTTCATCGCCCTCTCGTGGAGACTGACATTGAACGGAACCGCGCCCGGCTTGGCGGGCCGCTCCCAGTCGCTCATCCACGGCACAAATCTTCCGATAATGTCGAAAGTGCTACTTCAAAACGGGCAGCTTTTCTATTTGTACGTTCCCTCCCCAGAGTCGCGTCTGACTGACGAAAATAGGACGACCGTAAGCTTCAACATTCTCACCTTGGTGATGGGCATCGCTCCATGTACGTCCCCTCGTATCGTACACGTATCATTTGACGGTTCATTTCCGGGCAGCAATTTCCCCCACGTTCCACGGTATATTTCCCATGCCCAACATCGCATTGGAAAATGGCATGGCCTGCCGCGTCTTTCGTGCCTTGCGACTCGGTCTCCTACGGCCGGACAGCGACAGCGACCTCACAACCTGGAGGTCGTTGGTCGGGACCGCATCGCAACCCAATCGACGCACACCTGCGCGATCGAGCAACATCACGTTGGGAGGCTTGACCATGCATCAGCGTGCTAGTGACTTGAACATGCCGATGACGAAAAAGGTTGATACGGATGAGGGCGGCTCGCAGGAGGACTCGTTGACGAAGAAAGTATCCCATAGCTCAATTGTTTGACGCGACTCCACTATGCATTGGGATTTTGAGGCGATGATAGCTATATACCTTTTATATACCTTTGTTTTCCGTGTGCCGTTGTAAATATTTTCGATGTGTACGACCGTGTAACATGAAGATTTTGGTTGGATGTAGGGTCCCGAAACTGTGATGGATATTGGCTCATTTCAAGTTTATTACCCTCCATATACTCTCGATGCGCAGTGCAGCCTCTTACTTGAACATCTCCGAGATCCCCGAGATGTTTGGTCAGCTGCTGCTTGCCTCGGGTATGACTCGGGCTTGGAATCACTGCCCTCTGACTCGGTCTCGGGCATGGAGCCATTTCTCCCTGACTCTATTCGAGTCATTTAGCTATATTTAGAGTACTTTCCAGGTATATAAAGGGAGCTCTTCCCGCTCATGTACAACTTAACCTACCTTTGCAATACATCATCACCTTGAAGCGCCAGCCTTCCCACTGAGAATCTTACCACTGAGCTACAGTCGTAACCTTGCTTTTCAGGTATACTTCTTAGCATCACAGTCCTAAGAACTACGAGATATTCCGTAGATCGCGTCTAGTAAAGGTTTGCTCTTACTATTCGGCTGTTTGGTACGATCAGCGTGAACGTTGCTGTTTTATAGGGATTCTTGAACCAAATATATTTGCTTGGCTGCTAGACAGCTCATTTCATACACGCTTCGGCAGCGCGCGAAGCCCAGATCTATTACAGAAACTGCTCAGGGCATCATTGGTGCTACCCAAGTTTCATTGCCAGATGAATGGCCATCGCCCAGAGCCTTTCTCAACACAAATTTCTCCCAACGGTCCGCGCCTGTATTTGCCGCCTTTGATTCCTCTCCTTTTTTTTCTAAATACAAATAAGTTCCAAGTTTAAATCGTACCATCCACTCGTCTTCTCGCCTTAACACCTGCACCGTCCCTCAAGGGTCTCAACTGCCCTGCCTCACAGTCACACCCACCAAACAAACGCCCAGGTTCGCCACACCTCGTACACCGCACACATCAGCGCAGGCACAAACTCGTACCATCGATACCCACGCGTAATCTGTAGACCCACGCCCGCCACAAGTGCGACAGTCGTGCCGTACACCCAAAGCGCACACAGCAGGCGCATGTGGTTGTACTTGCTCGCGGCAGCAGAGGACGATGACGATTTCGCATTCGCGCCGAGAAGCGGCGTGCTCTCATCATCCATCCCAGCGGCAGAGGCGGAGATCGAGTTCGAGTCGGGATTCGCATTCGCCGTCGCCGTCGCATCGCCCGACGCGACCCAGCCCGAGAATGTTCCGAATAGATGGTCCGATAGCGACGTCAAATGGGCATACCTTCAATCAAAGTGCAATGTTGAATAATGAATACAAAACACGCTTATCACCGAAAGAATGGGAATACGTACTGTTGTACCGCGTTCAGATAGACTGTGTTGACACCATATCCCTATCAAATTTCAACTGGTCAGCCAGTAAATCATTGCCCTGCCATGCGTTGAAATGGAATACATACCTGTCGCGACCATAAGCGCCGTACGACGAGCGAATTGAATATTGTTGGGAGAACAAGGCCCCACCAATACCATCGCACGAGCTCGGGTCTGAACCAGGCCAGGAGCAGCGCGGGGAGCGGCCAGAGGAAGGGGAAGAGCGCGTTGGCATTGTATCCGAACAGCGGGGCAACCCAGCACAGACGCTGCATGAAGCGCAGATTCGCGTGCCAGAAGTCGCGCTGGTAGACGAGCGTAGGGGCCGTGGCACACCAGCGGACCTGAAAAACCATATGTTCACTTCTAACCGAAAGAGAGAGGCGAGGAAGCGCACCTGCTGCGAGAAATACACTTGCGCGCTATCCGGGCAAGTCCCACACGCCATTGGGAGCGGGAGATATTTGACCTGCCAGCCGCGCTTTATCATCTGGAAGCCCGTATGCTCGTCTTCGGAGTAGGCAATCGCGAAGGTGCCCTGGACTTCCTTCAGCGCGTCGCGGCGGTAAAGCGCGTTGCTCCCAACGCACGCCGCTGTATAATCAATGCGCGTAAGATTCACACTGGACACTAAAGAGAGAAAAACATAACGCACTGGCACCCAAGCGATCGCGATTCACCTGGTCCACTCGGAAAGGCACCTCCACCTGCGGGCCTGCGCCCTGCTCAACCCACGTCTGCGCCTTACTCACGCGGAAATACTGTGGCGTCTGCACAATCGCCGCGTCCGTATATCGCCGCATCACAGGCACCACCTCCCTTAAAAAGTCGCGCCGCGGGCAAAAATCCGTGTCGAATATCGCGAAGAATTCACCCGACGTGCGGGTGAAAGCGTGGCGCAAGTTCCCTGCTTTGCCGAGGAGGCGGTCGGGGCGCTGCATGTAGCCGAAGCCGAACTTGGACTGGGCGAGGGAGGCGACGACGGGGCGTGCGCCGTCGTCGAGGACCCAGATACGCAGGTTAGTGTAGTCGAGCTGCGAGACATAGGTGTAGGTGTTTTCGAGGATCTCGAGCGGTTCGTTGCAGCAGGGAAGGAAGATGTCTCTGCAAGGAATGAGATGGGGTAGAGAAAGAAGAGCGTGGTAGTAGTTACACGGAGGGCTCGTCCTCTGGGGTCACGGCATAGTTGTGGAGAGTTTGTTTGTGGTTGCTGAAGTCGAAGTCGCGGCCGGTGAAGCTGAAGATGGAGAATTGTAAGGAAACCAGAATTTGCTATGCAACACTCACGCAATGGGATACCACAGCAAGTGATATACCTGCACTACGGCGGCAAACGCCCCGAACCTATACATTGTCAATGACTTGTAGCAGTCGAGCAGACCATCAGGACTCACCAATAGAACTCGGGCGAGCTGAGAGCGAACAGCCAGGCGCTGAGGTGAAGCGATAGGAACGCAAGCACGCCAAAGAAGTAGATGGGAAGGCGCCGACCATTCAAATAGCTGTATTTTTCCTCGTCTGACGGGGGAGTGGGGAGCACGACGGCGGGAGGCCGGGAATTGATTTGCTGGGCTTCGGGGAGCATTGAGTCGAATGCCAGCCAGGTGTTCAAGTAATATGGATGACAAGAAGATCGGGTACGTAATTAGACCAATCGAACTATTACTCAGGAACGAGGTCGTCGGGGAGAAAGAGCGAGCTAATTGAATGTGAAAAGTGAGCCAATTGAATGTTACCATCACTACCAAGTTCCAACAATAGAGGTTTTCCTTGCCGGGTTCAGGTCGCCGTCAGGGTTGCGTCAAGGTACGACCGTTTCCTGCGTGCAACCTTGTGCCTTACATGTAAACGTTGTCGGCGTCGTGTGTTCGAATTCGCTTCCACAGGAAAGATTCGGCGCGTCGGCAGCTGGGAAGATAAGCGCGTTGATGAGTTGTTTTGTTATGTTTCCCGTCTTTTCAACCCGCGTTGATCCGAAGAACCTCCCACACTTGTCCCGCACCAAGAAATCTCACGACAAGACTGATTCTCCCGGCATTCCGAGTGCATTCCGTCGGCAACGCACGAGAACCTGCTGTGAGCATGCATGTCCAAAGTTCAAATGCTACGGAGCTCGAGATCGGCAGCAGCTTGCCGATGGTCAGCCGAGATGCTGGGGAGGCCCACGGAAAGAGCCAACTGACCATCCCCCCACAAGCAACACACTTTCCTTCAAAACAGAGGCAGTCAGACCAAGCTGCTTAGTGAGCCTGAATGTTCAATGGAGCTAGATCCACAAATATTGA